AATTCCATTCGGTACCTATAGTACGACCTATTAGTACTATACTGCCGTGCTAAGCGAAAAAGCAGTATCTCCAATTTTGGTCGAAATTGAGATATTGCTACACGGGGGTTAACAATGTGGTTTTGTACCATTTTTCGCAGTGAAAAAGCAGTATATCCAATATTTAACATTGAAAATGAGCATTTGAAATTAAGAAAATAAACAGTAAGTCCATAATTTTTGTGAAACTAGAAGCAAAAATACAGTAAATCCCAATAAGTAGCAAATAAGCAGTAAGTGACGTGGAGTTACTGTTATTTCGCTTATTTTCAAAACATTTTAAACAGGAACTAAAAACACAGTATCTCCGTATTTACTATTTGATAATATATTGGTGTATAAATTATATTTTGTAGTCACAACCACAGTTTCAGATTTATATTAAAGGTATATCAATCGTGGTCACACAGCTGATATGTTCATTATCAATTTGATGGAATACTGAATTATTAACAAATATTCTATTTTTAGGCTATGTTATCATAGATTAGTAAATTATTGTTGTTGTTACAAAATTCAAATGCATCTCTGAATAATTAAAACTTTGTTACTGTAATATCGTTGACTCTTTGTAGATTTTTGAATTTAGTAAAAGTATAAATTAAATAAACTTGTTGTTTATGATGGACAACGATTTAATTAGATTAAATGAACAGCTAGAAGAGGATGGAAAAACTATATTGGTTGTGAGTATTTAAAAACAGTTTTGTTGATACTATATATAATTTTTATATATTTTAATATTTAACTAAATGTCTACTTAATTGTTAAAGGGATTAGAAGAACTTGTCGATGACATTGACAATAGATCTATGGGAACAAACAGTATTTGTAGTCTATATGAGTTTGGTCAAATAAGCAGTGAAGATGAACTTAAGAGTTATGACAGTGATCCTGATTTAATTTATCCTCTACAAGAAGTTGAACAGGTAAACAATATTGCAAAAATAAATTAAAATAATACTTTGATCTATAATTATTGTAGTCATTTCAGTAGGTACATCAAAGTATAGTCTTTAATAAATAAAACTAATAATTAACCAATATAATATAGGTACATTATAAGCTTAAAAAAAATCTTTTTTTCAAATAACTTGTATTTTTAGTTTGCCATTTATATATTAAATATATTAAATACAATAATAACAATAATATATCTACAAAAAGAAAGGTATGATATAAAATTATGTATACTTCACTACATATATTTTTGTTTTTGTTTTTTTATAATAATACTTTCACATAAGGTATATATTATATAAAATAATATTAAAATATTAATACAAAACTATATATTTTTCTCAATGGGTTTTTAGATTGAGGAACATGGTCAAAATTATGCATTACAGACAAATGAAGAAGAAGTTGATAATGATGTCACTAAAAAAGGTACCAAAAGAAAAAGAAAAACTTACAGTAAAACCCCATATGAACGTAAACAACTGATATTACAACAACAACGAGAGAAACATTGTTTAAAATCACCATGTATATTATCATGTAAACAAAAATGTACTGAAAAAATATCTCAGGCTCTTAGAGAAGTTATAAACAGAGACTTTTGGAATATATCTGTAGCAGAAAGAAAAATGTTTGTGCTCACATCAGTGGAGAGACAGAATGTTAAACGTAGAAGAGGTAAAGGAGAGGAAATAAAAAGAAATTGGTCTTTAAAATATTCATTTAAAAATCTAGATGGGAAAAATGTAAGTGTTTGTAAGCATTTTTTTTTAGCTACATTAGGATATAAACCAAAGAATGATTCATTTGTATTTAAAATATGTTCAAGTATTGAGGATAAAAATAAAAATGCTATAGTATCTCCTATTCTAGATAAGAATAATCGTTCTCCATGGAACAAGCTTAACGAAGAATCCTTAAAGTCTATAAAATCACATATAGACTCATTCAACCCATGTGTTTCTCATTATAGAAGAGCTCATGCACCAAACATGAGATATTTACCAAATGAAGATAATGCTAATTTTATGTATGAAGATTTTAAAAAAAAGTTCTCAGATATTAAATGTTCATATGATGCTTATAGAAAAGTTTTAAGAGACAATAATATTTCCTTTACTAAGTTGGGTCACGAGGAATGTGAGCAATGCGAGGAATGGAAGCAACATAATGCAAATCATAGTAAAGACACATTAAATTTATCTTCTAATACATGTAATGTATGTAAAAAGTATGAAGTACATTTGGAGTTATATACACAAGCAAGATCCTTGTATGAAAGTCATAAAAAAGAATTGAATAGTGATTCTAAATTAACTGTTTCTGTTGATCTTCAGAAAGTAATTATGTTACCTCGCATGGAATGTTTCAAAGCAGCTATATTCACTAAAAGAATAATAGTATTCAACGAAAGTTTTGTGCCAATAGGAAAAAAAAATAAAGTTAAACCTTTAGCTATCATATGGCATGAAGGTGTGTCTGGAAGAAAACAGGAAGATTTGACAAGTTGTTTTTTTCAGTTTCTTTTATTTAATAAAGATATTAAAAATATTTCAATATGGATGGATAACTGTGCAGCACAAAATAAAAATTGGTGCCTACTGACATTCTTGATTTATGTTATTAATTCACATGAAATTGAAACTACTGAAATTAATTTGTTCTACTTTGAACCTGGACACTCATTCATGTCTGCTGACAGTTTCCATCACCAAGTCGAGTTATCAATGAAAAAAACAGGTAAAGTGTATGATTTTATGGACTTTGAAAAAGTTATCCGTAAATCCAATAGTGGGCATGTAGATGCAAAAGTAATGGATCTCACAGACTTCTATGATTGGAAATCAGAATGTTCTGTTTACAAATTGAACAAGCAAAATATAAGACCAATGCTTAGTGACATTGTTCATATAAAGGCAGAAAGAGGGTTGAATTATTTGCTTTACAAAACTGATTACAGTGAATATTGTCCATTTAGAAAACTTGATTTTTTAAAAAACAACATCATTAAAAATGGAATTTCAAAACCAGACCAAAAAACTAAAGTTCTTGGTATTCATCCAAGCAAAAAGGAAAGTATCATAAAAACATTAGTACCTTTAATGCCAGAAACAAGGAAACAATTCTGGCTAGATTTTCCGTGTGCTATTGAAGCACTAGATTTATACAGTGACAACGAAAATTAAAAATGTTATTATAATGATAGTTATTATTATAAAAATGTCAGTCTAATCAAATTATTTTTAATTATTTTATAAATTGTTAATTTAAAGTAAAAAGTACTTACTTGTTCAAAAGTGTTTGCAACTTATTTATTTATATAATAATATGTATATTGTACCAAATATATTATATAAATATGTTATTAGTTATTACTATTTACTACTAAGTTAGTAATTACTTTATAGATTTTTCTA